CTGCTCAATCGCCAATACCGCAACCTCAAACAGGGAGATCTCTCCGTGGACGAATATGCGCGCCGCATGAAAATGCTCACCGCGGGTCTTGCTGACATCAATCACACGGTCACCGAGGTGGATCTCACCACGCAGTTCCTCCACGGCATCGACGGTCGTCTCGACACCATCCGGGTCATGCTCGGGGAGACGGTTCCCCTCCCCCCATTCGAGACCGTCTTCTCGCGCCTGAAGCTCGCCGAGGAGAACCTCACTCAGCGCACCGCCGAGGCCCCGACCACAGTCCTTGCCGTCCATGGGCTCGGCGGCCCGTCCGGCTCCAGCAGCGGCGCGGGCTCCACTTCTCGCCCGGGCGATCGGGTGGATCACTCTCAGGATCGGGCGGATCGCGCCCCTGGGCGTGACTACACCAGTCGCGGTGACGGTGGTGACCGCGATGGCGATCGCGGTGGTGACCGCGGACGCAGGCGCGGCGGACAGCACGGTTGTGGCGGCTCGTCTTCCGCGCCGTTCAACCCTTACAAGGGTTCTTCGCCCCGTAAGGCATGGCCATCCCTCCACCGCGCCCTGGCTGGGTGCCACCGAACGCAGCTGGTGTACTCGGTCCCCGTCCGGGATCACATGCTCAGGCGTACCCGATGCAGTACGCGCCCTACGCCGCGCCCTCTCCGTACCAGCAGCCTTCGTGGGATCACATGGCGCTCCTCCACGCCGCCTACAGCAACCAGGGCTTCAACAACACCGCTCCCTCCAACGAGTGGTACCTAGATAGCGGCGCCTCCAACCACGTCATCGGCAACCCTGGTAACCTCACCCGCTTGAGTTCTTCTTTACATCGTAAATTCTCTAGCATTGTAGTAGGCAATGGCCACCATCTACCCATTCATGCCACCGGATCCACCTCTCTCCCTCCCCACAATTTTCAACTCCGCGATATCCTTTTCTCTCCCTCCATCTCCACTAGCCTTATCTCCGTTCGTCAATTCACAAAAGATAATTTTTGCTTCATTGAATTTTACCCGTTTGGCTTTCTTGTGAAGGATCTTCGCACACGGAGGGTAATCCTGATCTCCGCTAGCTCCGGCGACCTCTACCCATTCTTCGGCACCAACACGACGCGGTGCACTGCTCTCTCCGCCACGACCGCCGACGGTGATGTGTGGCACCGTCGCCTCGGCCACCCAAGCAAGCAAGCATTTCACTCCATTTCTAGCACTTTTTCTTTCCCATGTAATAAGCCATATACTGGCCCTTGTACTGGATGCCAACTAGGGCAGCAACCTAGACTTCCTTTTTCATCTTCTTCTAGCCGCACTTATGCACCATTTGAGCTTATCCACTGTGATTTATGGACCTCGCCGGTTGTGAGTTTCTCCGGCTATGAATACTACTTGATTGTTCTCGACGATTACTCTCACTTCTCCTGGTCCTTTCCCCTACGGCGAAAATCGGACACGTCCCTCACCCTCCAACGTTTCTTTGCTCATGTGCGCACACAATACAACGTCGTCATCAAAGCCATCCAATGTGACAATGGTGGTGAGTTCATCAACTCATCCCTCCGCTCCTTCTTCTCTACCCACGGCGTGTCCTACCGATTCTTGTGTCCTCATGCATCCTCCCAAAATGGCAAGGCTGAACGCCTCCTACGTACTACCAATGATGTCGTGCGGACCCTCATTTTTCAAGCCAACCTTACTCCCCCGTTTTGGGTCGAGGCCCTCCACACAGCTACTTATCTCCTAAACCATCGTCCCTCCCGTGCTATTCATGGATCCACACCCTACTCTCGTCTCCACGGTGTTCACCCCTCCTATGATCATCTTCGTGTCTTCGGATATCTATGCTTTCCAAACCTATACGCCACCTCCTCTCACAAACTTGCCCCTCGGTCTACCCGGTGCGTCTTTCTAGGCTACCCACTTGAGCACAAAGGTTACCGGTGTTACGATTTGGATTCTCGCCGTGTCATCATTTCTCGCCACGTCTCTTTTGATGAATCCATCTTTCCTTATGTGCCTCCCACACCGTCGACCACCCAGCCCCTTGCCACAGCCAATCCCACGAACCGACTCCAGCTGCAGCTGCCCAGCCCCGATCCCGACGCACCACCTGGCCTCCCCCACTCGTGCGCATCTCCACCAACCGGCACCCCACCAATCCCGTCGCCCCAACCATCGCCCCACCAATCCCCCCGCTCCACACGCACCGCCAGCCCCACCGAATCGTCCTCGTCTTCCGGGCCATCCCAACCTGCGGGTTCCCCCCGCACTCCTCCCGATTCGCCACCCCACGGGCCCAGTCGATCCGCCTCGGATCACGCCTCCACCTCGCCTGCCGCGCCCCTGACCGAATCTCCTCCGGATCCTGCGCCCCGCTCCGGTCCCAGTAGTTCTGTCTCCACCTATCAAACGCCGCCACGTCCCCCTCCGCATGCAATACCAATCCCGCCTCCTGTTAACTCACATAAATCGCACCCGCGCCAAATCGGGTTTCTGCCAGCCAAAGCGCCTTTTTCTCACCACCACCACGACACCTATCATCTCACCCATCCCTGCCACCTATCGCTCCGCCCTCAAAGACCCAAATTGGTACATGCAATGCAAGATGAATTTACTGCTTTAATCAAGAATTCGACGTGGTCTTTGGTTCCCAAACCTGCATGTGTTAACGTGGTCACGGGCAAGTGGATATATCGCCACAAGTTTCATTCTGACGGCTCCTTGGCGCAGTACAAAGCTCGGTGGGTCGTTCGAGGATTCACTCAACAGGCCGGCGTGGATTATGATGAGACATTCAGTCCGGTCGTGAAACCGGCCACCATTCGCGTGGTTCTCAGCATTGCCACATCTTGCTCCTGGCCGATCCATCAACTCGATGTCAAGAACGCATTTCTTCATGGCGAGCTCAAAGAGACTGTTTACTGTGCTCAACCATCCGGCTTCATCGACCCCTCTCATCCGGATCATGTTTGCCTCATTCGTAAGTCCCTTTACGGCTTGAAACAAGCCCCCCGCACGTGGTTTCATCGCTTCAAGTCATTCTTGCTCTCCCGTGGTTTTCACGCTTCTCACAGTGACTCTTCCCTCTTCATTTTGTCCCACGGGTCTTCCATTGCATATCTTCTCGTGTACGTTGGTGACATTATTCTTACTGCCAGTACATCTCACGTCCTACACTCCATCATTGCCTCTCTTAAGGCGGAATTCTCCATGACCGACCTAGGTGAGTTGCATCACTTCCTCGGCATTAATGTAACTCCCAACACCTCTGGTTTGTTCTTATGCCAACAACAATACACCCTCGAGATCCTAGACCGTGCCAACATGCTCAATTGCAAATCCGTCTCCACTCCTATAGACACCACTGCAAAACTTTCCGCTACCGACGGCCGCGTTCTTTCAAACCCCACCACTTACCGGAGTCTTCCTGGCGCTTTGCAATATCTCACCCTTACCCGGCCCGACATCTCCTACGCGGTTCAACAGATTTGCCTCTTCATGCATCAACCACGGGACAGTCACATGCAGCTCATCAAGCGTGTTCTTCGCTATCTACGGGGCACCACTCACTACGGCTTGCAACTCTACAAGTCTACCTCCCTTGATCTCGTGACTTACACATACGCTAATTGGGCCGGCTGCCCTGATACGCGTCGATCCACGTCGGGGTTCTGTATTTTCTTGGGCAACAGTCTGGTCTCGTGCTCGTCCAAACGACAACCGACCGTCTCTCGATCGAGTGGCGAGGCGGAATACCGTGGCGTTGCCAACTGTATGGTCGAGTCCTGTTGGGTCCGCCAGCTTCTCCACGAGCTCAAGCGGCCACCCTCTCGTGCCACCATCGTCTATTGTGACAACATCAGTGCCTCCTACCTCTCCTCTAATCCGGTTCAGCACCAGCGCACTAAACATGTTGAGATTGATCTCCACTTCGTTCGAGATCGTGTGGCACTCGGTGAAGTTCGTGTTCTCCATGTCCCCTCCAGCTCTCAGTTTGCGGACTTGTTCACCAAGGGGCTTCCATCGCCGATCTTCACCGAGTTTCGCTCCAGCTTGAACGTCCTCCCACACGGCGTTCCATCTGAGGGGGGGGGGGTGTTAACATGTATTTATACAGAGTGTGTAGTGCGCATGCTTCCTCCATGTATATAGGATCTGAACCGTCTCCCCGGGCCTGCGTGCCCACGTCATGGGGCATATATATGTAAACACTGATGTATTGTATCGTTGTGTCAATCAATAGAGCAAGTCTACTCTCCAACTTCTCTTCTATGTCCGTGTGGCTGTGTGGTGCTGACGACATCCCTCCTCCACCCCCATGTTGCCGCTATATATATATATATATATATATATATATATATATATTTCCTACATGACGTTCGCCTCATAACACTACAACCGATCGGTCGCAGATTAGCCTCACAGAGTTGCAGCAGTGTGCGCATGTGCGCATCATGGGCATTACAAAATGCTTTTCATCCCCGCAGAGGCGTGCAGCTCACCTGCCGAGCCCGAGCCGGCCCGCCGGCCAGTCGACAGGCGCACCTGACCCCGTCCGGCCTGTCCCTCCCGCCGGACACACCGCCACATGCACGCAGCTAGCACGCTCCTCCATCCCTCCCTCCATCCATCGACGATGGAGCCACCCCACCCGCTTAATCAATCATTCGCCATTAATCTCCATCGACCGTCGACACACAACTTTGTCACCCACGCACAGTTAATTAATTGGGAGCGCACCTACACTCTCTGTCCACTGTACATCTCCGTCGCCATCCTGCAACCCCCCTCCTGTAGCTAGCTAGTCTCCTCCTCCTTGTGTCAGTGTCACTCTCCTACCTCCACCATAGCCGCTACCTCTATCTAGCTATAAAGGCCGGACCATTGTGTGCCATGTGAGACCCCTCTTCCTCGTCGTCCTCCTCCTATCTCTCTTGCTTTCGAGCTCTGCTCAGCTTCTTGATTCGGCCGATCCATCCAAGTAGAGGGACCGGTATAATGGGGTTCCCGGCGGTGTACTCGGAGATGCCGAGGCTGCTGCTGAACCTGCTCTTCCTGCTCGGCCACCTGCGCCGCCTCTCCTCCTGGCTGCTCCGCCTCGTCGGCGCCGGCGTCGACGACGACCTCTGCTTCGACTACTCGGACGCCCCCGACTTCGCCCACTTCGCCGACCACCACCACCAGCACCACCAGGAGCAATACCAGCAGCGCGACCACGGCCACGGCCTGGAGGAGCTGGACGAGCACTCCCCGGCCGTGCGCTTCGACGCGCTCCCGTCCGACGGCGACGACGGCACGACGCCGCTGCTGCCGGAGGGCTGCGCGGTGTGCCTTGGCGACTTCCACGGCGCCGCACGGGTGCGCCGGCCGCGCGGGTGCCGCCACGTCTTCCACCGCGGATGCCTGGACCGCTGGGCCGCGCACGGCCACCGCACCTGCCCGCTCTGCCGGGCTTCGCTCCTCCCGCCGGCGCCGGCGCCTCTGAGTCCCGTCCTCCTGCCCATGCCGCTGCCGGCGTCGTGATTGGCGCTGGGCAAGCTCGTTCGGGGTGCTGTTTGCATATATGTTCGGCGACTATTCTTGCGGCGGGATCCTGCGGAGAGGATTCCGAATTCGTCGCTTCTGGTTGAGCTTTTATGCAAAAACAAGCTCAACCGGCGAGAAGGGCCAAGGAGGCCATGCGGGAGGGGGCGTCGAAATATTTTCCGATAGCCCCTCGCCAGGAGAGATTATCACAAGACAATCCCCATGGGAGGGGATTAGTTCCTGGTTTGAGCTTTGGTTTAGTTTGGCTTTGGACTCGAATGGATTTGGTGTCCGGTGCAAAATCCATATACCAAGAAAGAAGAAAAGGAGAACATATGTATGTACATCAGACTTGATTAGATTAGTGGGAGTAAATAGAGTGGTGAATCCGAATATATGCACGGCTTTTGCTCTGTTTGCTTTTCTTTTCCTTTTTATTCTTGTTATAATATTTCATAGGACCAGCATTTTCCATCTTTACTTATACTACTACTTCGCGAGGGGGTTGAAGATACCACCTGGTTTTTTGCTACATGTTTTGTGTGTTACACGCTCTATTTGAAATGCATTGGATTCAACCGGACTACCTTAAATTATCCCCTATGGTAGCATCTATAGAAACTCTGAAATCTGAAATCATTATATGGTTGCTGCGTGCCTATGCGAATTTTGTTCTTGTACATAAAAGAACGGAAGCACTAAAAATCACCTCCGATTTTTAGGCATAGCAAATCTGAGGTTTTTCATGACAACTGGCGTGATGTTCGCAAATTTAGTGCGTAAGCGTGGCAATTTCCTGACAAAAAAAAACTAAGCCGGATTTCCCATGCTCACCAACTAAACTTGCCATCTTTGAAGAACATAATTTGCCATGATAAAAAAAATTGACGTCAAATTTGTAGTAGAGTCCTGAAAGAATTCCCTGGCAAATATGTACTTTGCAGTAGGATTACTCCGTTTGTGAGAAGGTCAGTTTTATTCAATAATGTAGCCATTACATCATCTGGTATGTAAGGATAATAACTTCTGTTTACGCGGCAAATGTGTTGAGGACTTCGATATTACATTATTCAGATGTTCTATAGAACTGAATGCAACCAAATATCGATGAGATATCACTTATCTTCTCAGATCAATAGTATAAGGACCTAAGCTCATTAATACTTAAATTTCCTAGACTCGTGCAATGTAGAATCCTCTATCAAGATATTTTCAGATATCTCCCGCAAAATTTTTTTTACAGAGAAAATAGGCACAAAAACATATAAATGTGATATAATACATATAAATGGCAAACACGTCGCATGTGTAGGCCATCCCTACTAGATCGAACGTATCGCTCGATTTTGTTGTATCTAAATAAATGGAACAAACTGCTCCATAGATAGATGCTTGTTATTTTGTCCGGTTTTTTTGCTTTCTTCAGATTTGGAATATTGGATTTATTTCAACACTGAACTATAATTTGAAAGCATAACATATTACCTATGTTACATTTATAATGATAATTTTTTTTGTTAAATGCTAGTAAGTTTAAGTTTTTTAAATATTACTAGTGCTAGAATGTGATAGAAATTGTCAAATCTAATGTAATACTAGTTAATTTTTTTGATAATAACATGTAAAGAAGTAAAAACATTTAGTATAAATAATTGACTTTTGAGGTTTACCAAAATTTGTCCAGCAAAAACAAGGACACTATATGCAAGCGAGATACTAGATTAATTGGGTATAAACAATTCAATGGAAAGAAATTAGATGCGTCGACGAAAACTGCATTAACCGGTGTTACGAAGCTGTGTGACAATCCTAAAATAAGACACATCTGTTCGAAACACAGCTAATCTCAATAATGATTAAGAAATGAAGAATCAAGGAAATATATATTTTACTCATTTTAGAAAACACATTAAATTGTTTTACACAAAATAAACTGCATTAAATCAATCATTTCACTTATTTAAGAAAACACATTACACTAACATGTTTCATACATTTCACTCGTCTATAAATAATAAATTTCACTCATTTCAGAAAATATATTATACTAACATGATTCACACATTTTACTCGTTACAAATACTCCCTCCGTAAAGAAATATAAAAACGTTTAGATCACCAAAGTAGTAATCTAAATGCTCTTATATTTTTTTACAGAGGAAGTAATAGATTTAACTCATTTCTCTAGTTTCAGAAAACACGTTTCCCTCGTCGAAATTAAAACATGTTTGTCATATATTCAAGATTGATCTTGCTCTAAAGTTCTTAACCCCAGAAATTCAAATATATGAATTATTTCTAAAATAAAATTATAGTTTACTAGATACCAATGGTTAAAATTTTGAAAGAAAATAAAAATAAAAGCATGGATTTGTTTCCTTCATGGCATGCACGCGTGAGAGGGTAGAGGAGAGAGAGCGTCCCATGCATTCGTCATGTACTAGTGGGTCTTGCTATGATTTTTTTTAGCATCAGTATAGACACAACCGCTCATATACACGCGCATACACTCACCCCTATAAACGCACACACACACATCCTACTCCTATGAGCACCTCCGAGAGACTGAGTCGGCATATCATCTTGATATTTACGAAGCCACCGTAGGCGCCTCGTTGTCGACGGGAACGTCTCCTCCACTGAAAGCGTATCGCCGGAAATCCTGAAATAAATCTAGGAATAATGCGAGTATCAGGATTTGAACCCTGGTCGGTTGGAGATACCACTGTCCACCAAACCATCTCAACCACAGGTTGGTTCGCTATAATTTGACGTAACTAGTAAATGCGCACATGCAACGCACGTTAATATTTAACCAATATAATATTTGTACGTGGATATTAGGTATGCTATTATTTGTGTGTTAATTTCTGTGATTATGTGATTAGTCAATGTGTACGTGCAATACACGTTAATTTCGAAGTATATTAAGTGTATGTGAACATTAAGTAGGATATTCTTTACGTGTTATTATGTGATTAGAACTATATTGGCATGAAATTAACTGCACGTTAAACGTGTTGAGTGCTTGACATTGAAGCAGTCTAGGTCGTTGAATTGATATAATTTGATGGCCGAGATTAATTGGATCTTCCCTTTGCGTCTTTTTATATTGGTATAGATGCAACATACGAAGAGTGAGAAGGGAATACTATGCATATGAACCCTTACATATGGCAGCCATGCTTTTTTTAAAGGAACACAAAACTGCATTCCATTAGATAGCTTGGCTGGATAGATCACCAGCTACATAGTCTGATACAAGACTTGAAAACTGGCCAAGCCAAATTTCACAGGTACCTACACTCATGATTGTGCCCTGTGCAGCTTGATTACACATTCTTGGACAATGTTTAACACAAACATTCATGCATGAACCCAACTCTAAACTGAAACTTAATGTCTGTGAAGACAACACCTAATTGGGAGAAATCATAAGCATCAGAGGTGACAGCTTGTTTCAACGTCAAGGAGTCAGTTTCAACTATAACTCGTTGGCACCCATCTGAATAGCTGCATTTACAGTACAAAATGAAACAAGAAACTGAGGTAACCACGAAGGAATTGGAGATTTTGCAGACTAAAATTTGTGCTATCTGAATCCGGCCAATCCTATTTTCTGAAAGAGATTATAGTTCAAATGGTAAGTTATGTTGATGCGTGTCCATGATGTATGAGCTTTGTTTGTCCATTTCCTGTTTGTGTATGTTTTACTGTCACTGGTGACGAACTATAATGCCCAGTGGGTATATTCAGCTGTAATTTCTTAATTGTATAGTGTAGGATTATTCTACGTTTCTATGTGAGGGAGTCCTCGATTAGGGGGTGTCCGGATAGCCGGACTACCATCATCAGCCGAACTATCATCGGCCGGACTATCATCATCGACCGGACTCCAAGACTATGAAGATACAAGATTGAAGACTTCGCCCCGTGTCCGGATGGGACTTTCCTTGGCGTGGAAGGCAAGCTTGGCGATACGGATATATAGATCTCCTACCATTGTAACCGACTCTATGTAACCCTAGCCCTCTCCGGTGTCTATATAAACCGGATGGCTCTAGTCTGTAGGACACGACAACAACCATTACAATCATACCATAGGCTAGCTTCTAGGGTTTAGCCTCCTCGATCTCGTGGTAGATCCACTCTTGTAAACATCCGCAATATCAATATCAATCAAGCAGGACGTAGGGTTTTACCTCCATCAAGAGGGCCCGAACCTGGGTAAAACATCGTGTCCCTTGTCTCCTGTTACCATCCGCCTAGACGCACAGTTTGGGACCCCCTACCCGAGATCCGCCGGTTTTGACACCGACATTGGTGCTTTCATTGAGAGTTCCTCTGTGTCGTCACCGATTGGCTTGATGGCCTCTTCAATCGACAACCACGCAGTCCTGGGTGAGACTTTTCTCCCCGGACAGATCTTCGTATTCGGCGGCTTCGCGCTGCGGGCCAACTCACTTGGCCATCTGGAGCAGATCCAAAGCTACGCCTCTGGCCGTCAGGTCAGGTTTGGAAGCCTAAACTTCACGGCCGATATCCGCGGGGACTTGATCTTCGGTGGATCCGAGCCACGGCCGAGCATGCCGCGCTGTCACGATGGGCACGACCTAACTCTGCCGCCGGACAGCACCTTGGAGGCCGCACACAAATCAGCTCCGACCCATAGTCCGGAGCCGATCGCTCAGATCGAGGACGGATGGCTGGACACCGCCTCGGGAGCTGCAACTTCTACGGCGATGGAGTTGAACACTTATTTTGTCCCGCATAAAGCCCGTGACTCCGAGGTGCCGGACCCCCTGCCGGACTCCGAACCTCCTGCGCCCCTGCTAGTCGAATCCGATTGGGCGCCGATCATGGAATTCACCGCTGCGGACACCTTTCAGCACTCACCCTTCGGCGATATCTTAAATTCGCTGAAGCATCTCTCACTATCCGGAAAGCCCTGGCCGAACTACGGCCAGGATGGTCAGGACGCGGACAATGAAGAAATT